AATAATGATGTACAACTGAAATTTATACAATGTTATAAACCAATGTTAGTGCAATAATCAAAAAATAAAAATAAAATTTAAGACGAAAAAAATATGAATCCTCCTATGACTATTATTAAAGAAGTTTCACATAATTACATTCTACAATTGTATTATCCCAGAATTCTTCCATGCCCCAGACATCTACCCATCTGCCATGGATTATTTCCCTGGTTCCTACCGGTCAAATGGGGAGGTTGGCTATGTGATCTGCTTCAAGGGGTCATTATTACTGAATGAAATAGCCTATGCTCCACTTTAGTTAATGTTGTGGCTGCATATTTACCGGGATCTCACCCTATACAAGTGTCTTCTATGACAAAGTTCTCAACCATCCAAGTCTGCAATGTAATCTTAACCAGCACCCCAAATACACATAATGCTAATAGTGATGTTAAAGCACCACAGACCAGATGTATTAACTATACTTTTAAAATCTGTAAATTGATGCTTTAACATCTTCACAATGGCCACTAGCTGCTTCAAATGAATTCTGGATTATACATTAAAATCTGGGGACTTTAGATAGCACCAAACCATAGAGTCTAAAAGTCAAATTGAACATGAATTTCTCAGGGGGAACACTTTCAAACACAGGTAGCCAATCCTAAGCCAGTTTATCCTGCCTAGCACATTTTTCTGGTGGAAACCACAATGAAAGTGCATTTCCATAGTTCTGCTCCCTCTCCCTGTGTCATGGGCCCTTATTGCTTCCAAGTGGTCCTCTGGGGAATGTACTGTGTTCTCTCCAGGAAACTGTGAGGATAACAAAACCATAAAACTCTTGCTAGTTTCTCTCTCTTGGTGTCTGGCCTCACCATACCTCATGCAAGGAAATATGATTAACAGGGAGTAACACAATTCAGATGATCAGTTTTGAATTTGGAAATTGTGAGTCCTCCAAATTTTTTATTCTATTTTCAAGATTGTTTTGTCTATTCAGGGTCCCTTGTGACACCCTATGAATTTGAGGTTTTGTTTTTCCATTTCTGCAAAAAATGGCCATTGCAATATTGATGGCACTGAATCTATAGATCACTTAGATTAGTAGTGATATGATGATGATATTCTCTTCCTATTCTTGAGCATAGGATAACTTTCCATTTATTTATGTCTCCTTCAAATCCTTTCAGCAATGTTTTGTAATTTTCAGTGTACAAATCCAGGTGGTTAGAAGAGAATCAAGTGTGAATCCTATTGACCCTCTTTGACCAGGTTGCAAACCAGGTGTAGCAACTAGACTGGCCTATTGGTAGAAAGAAAGACACATCATGTGTAGGAACCAACAGGGCCTAATCACCAATGCTATATCTCTAGAACCACTCAGAATGCATATCTCAGAAGACCCCATGATTCACACTCAGGGTAGCATTCTCTATATTCAGTTTCTCTTGAATTTGAATTATCCAATGTTTATTAAGGAACAGAAACAATCTTATTAAAAATGATAATACAACATTTTTTACATTCACAAAGTTTTTCTCTACAACAAAATCACAAGTGAACATTAGCACAATTTTCCCACATTACATCACTTGGATTTCTCTCCATTACAAGGTCTCTCATATATAAAAAACATATATATTTCACTGAGGAAATAGCGAAGTGCTTCCATGTTTCTTAATGGTATGGTTTCACTGTTAGTCCATACATGCTGGGTTGTGATGAGATTCTGATGCCTTTCCCTCATTCCTTACATTTGTAGAGTATCTCTCTAGTGTGGTCCTTTCATGTCTTCAATGTGAATTGGGACTACTGAGGACTACACCACATTCCTTATATTGATACAATTTCTCTCCAGGTGAGTTCTTTCATGATACCAAAAAGAAATGGGAAAACTGAAGGCTTTCCCACATTCTTTACATTTCTAACATTTCTCTCCAGTGTGAGTACGCTTGTGAATGACAAAGTACAAATAATTGCTAAATGTTTTCCCACATATGTTACACTCAATAGGCTTTTCTCCCGTATGAGTTCTAAAATGTCTGTTAAGATGTGAGGAAAGAGCAAAGGCTTTCCCACATGTGTCACATTTAAAAGGCTTCTCTCCAGTGTGTGTTTTTCTATGGTCACTAAGGCTTGAGGATTGAGTGAAGGCTTTCCCACATTCCTTACATTCATAGGGTTTCTCTCCAGTGTGGGTTCGCATGTGAACTTTAAGGGACACAGAACGTTCAAAGCCTTTTCCACATTCCTGACATTTATAGGGTTTCTCTCCAGTATGAGTACGGTTGTGAATGACTAAGTATGAAGAACTGCTAAATCTTTTCCCACATATATTACACTCAAAACGCTTTTCTCCAGTGTGAGTTCTAAAATGGGCAGTAAGATTTGAGAAACTACCAAAGGCTTTCCCACATGTATCACATTTAAAAGGTTTCTCTCCAGTGTGAATTTTATTGTGGTAAATGAGACCTGAGGATTGAGTGAAGGCTTTCCCACATTCCTTACATTCATAGGGTTTCTCTCCAGTGTGGGTTCGCATGTGAACATTAAGATGCACAGAACGTTTAAAGCCTTTCCCACATTTCTTACATTTATAGAGTTTTATTCCCGTATGAATTCTACTGTGAACGTGAAGGTATGAGGAAATTCTAAAGGATTTTCCACATACCTCACAAAGAAAGGGCTTCTCTCCTGTGTGTGTTTTCACATGTTCAATAAGTTCAAAAGACTTAATAAAGGCCTTCGCACATTCCTCACACTTAAAGGGTTTTCTACCAGTGTGAATTTGAAAGTGAGCATTAAGGTATACAGATTGTTTAAAGGATTTTCTGCATTCCTTATATTTGTAATGATTATTAGCAGTGTCAGTTTGTACCTGCACACCACGGCTTATTGAGTAAATAAAAGATCTCAAACATTCCTTCCCTTCATAGAGTTTTTCTCCATTGTGAGTTCTCATTGGTGCCTGAAGGTAAGACTGATTAACAAAGGCTTTCCCACCATCACTGCATTCCAAGGCTTTCTCTTGCATGCTAGTTTTACAGTACACAATATCTGGAGTCGGGCTGATGGCTTTTCCCCACTGATTAAACATGGAATGTTTCTCTCCAGGTGAGGTTTTCTTGTGCGGCGTAAGGAAGCTTTTTCCATACTGATTATCCTCATCACTGTTCCCTCCATGTTGAGTTCTCCTCTGGGTCTTAAGACATGAATGTTCACTGAAGACTTTCCCACACTGCTCACAATCAGCGAGTTCCCACTCACTGTGGATTTTCTCCTATTAAAGAATAAAGAATGAAGATTCAAAGATTTTTCAGACTCACTAATTGATCCCACCCATCTGAAAATAGAAACAGTACTACAATGATGATGATGATGATGATTACCATTTCCAGTACACTCATACACTTCCTACCCCGTTCATTTCTTTCTAGTTGAATATGGAATCCTTCTGCTGGAATGATACGCCACCTACTGTAATTTTAAAAGATTTCTGTACAGTTTCATAGAATTGTTTTAAAAAGTCAATGGCTAGTTATATAAGTGGAAATGAGTCCTTGTGGGAATTCTGAAGCAACAACTTTCAAGCAAGGTTTAGGATATCCCCCAGTTTAGCATATTCAGAATATCTTCCCAAAGACATTGCTCTCTCTTGGACAAATGCTACTTACCTCAAATATTTACCAGTTATGTTCATGTTCCATCTAATGAAAATCTCAATCTTTGTTGAATGTGGAAAATAAGAAATATCTCTTTTTAAACTTAGTGTTCTTACCATTTTTAGCCTATTGGGTGTTTTCTCCCCCAACATATCCTGCTGAATTGCTGAGTCTTTGGTTTTAAGTTGCATTTCCCGTTCTAAAATAAAAAAGAATAACCAATGTAGGAATTTGCAGAGAGAAATGTAGGCTTAAGGAGTTAAAAACAATAAGGCTCATTGTATTATTTCCTAATTAAAACATTAAACAAAAAAAGGGTAAAATAGATTTGAGGACTATACCTATGTCAAAAATTTTCAACGCTAAGGACGTGCGGTCAAAATTCAGTAGTTGATTAAAATGATTCTATGAAAATTAAATATGACGGAGAAAAAAAACAGAACACTATCAGGGAAAGAAAGTAGAAAGTTATAGACAAAAAGCATATATCCAAATGATAAAGTTAAAAACAAAGCAGAACAAGTCATTCTGTGAGATCACAAGAAATTTTGATTAAATGTAAATTAAGAATGTATGAGAAGTTGACAATAGCCCAAAGCTTCAGAGACTAGTGACTTCACCCTTCTAAAGAAAGCACATCTTAAAGTTTCCTCACTTTTTTCTTTTTTTGTGAGGAAGATCAGCCCTGAGCTAACATCCATGCTAATCCTCCTCTTTTTGCTGAGGAAGACCAGCTCTAACATCTATTGTCAATCCTCCTCCTTTTTTTTTTCCCCCAAAGCCCCAGTAGATAGTTGTATGTCATAGTGGCACATCCTTCTGGTTGCTGTATGTGGGATGCAGCCTCAGCACGGCCGGAGAAGCGGTGTGTCAGTGCGCGCCCGGGATCCGATCCTGGGCTGCCAGTAGTGGAGAACGTGCACTTAACTGCTAAGCCACAGGGCCGGACCAAGTTTCCTCATTATAATTCCAAACATACTGAAATTTTCACTGATCAGGGAAGTTCTTCACAATCACTCACCTTGGAAGACTCCTCTCTGCACTGTACTCAACTCTTCTTCTTCCAACCAAGAGATCAGATTGGGTTTGAATAACAGATGTTCTGTTAACAGGGAAAGATGTATTAATAGAAAGGGCCCCTGCAAAAGATGACAAACTTTCCCATGAATCAGATCCTATACTTCTAATGAACACACTAAAATTATTTCAAAGGAGATAAAAATGCAAATATCTCCTCTTTCTGTGCATGAAAGAGACTGGTTATCTCTCGTTCCTGAAACCTATGTTGAGACATATACGTACACGTTACAGAGCATTAAGACTTTTATTGAAATAGAAAATAAAGTAAGTGTAAAAGAGATATTCATTCTCATGGAGAAACTACTACATCAGTGGTTGTCACACTTTGTTGTCCACTGGAACCATGTCCACTGTTTTTATTAAAACAGAGATGTCTGGGTGCCAACCCAGTGGCATAGTGGTTAAGTTTGCATGCTCCACTTTGGCAGCCCAGGGTTCGCAGGTTCAGATCCTGGGCATGGACCTACACACTGCATATCAAGCCATGCTGTGGCAGCCATCCCACAGATAAAGTAGAGGAAGATGGGCACTGATGTTAGCCCAGGGCCAATATTCCCAAGCAAAAAGAGGAGGATTGGCAACAGATGTGATTGGCAACAGATGTTAGCCCAAGGCTAATCTTCCTCACTAAAAAAAAACCCAAAAAAACAACAGATGTCTGGGCCCAATGCCAGAGTTTCATTCACTGTATCAAAAGTGGAGTCTGAGAATGCACATTTCTAAGAGAGTCATGGGGATGGTGTTAGTCCTCAAAATACATTTTTACAGAAACCACACTAGATTAAAACCCATTAGTGTAGAGACTAGTGTTTGCTGGTTTCCATTATGTGCAGATTTCACATCACCAATACTGCAACATAGTAAATACATCATATATATCTGTTCCATAAGAGGCTACAGGAAAGATGGCAGCCTTACCTACTGTGGTCAGGTTCTTGTAGTTCTCCAGCATCACATCTCTGTATAGATTTTTCTGAGCTGGGTCCAGTAGAGTCCACTCCTCTCGGGTAAAGTGCACAGCCACATCAGCGAAGGTAACTGAGTCCTAAATCATCACACACAAGCTGGCTTCAGTAAAGTAACATCTCTGCCAGCATTCACTGGGGCATGAAGAAGGGAGATCTCACGGCAAAAGAGCGTTTCAAGGTCTCTCATCATCTCCCCCAGGGTGCAATGCTCCTGTGTACTCTTCTTTCTGTCTACACTCACTCACAATTGATATCCTCCAGTTATGGCTTTAATGGAACCTCTGACACATGAACTTATCTCACAAGAACTAGACTAAAAGCTCTTCTCATCTTACTTCCCTCAGGCAGCAAAGCTCTAAGCAAATTGTAAGCACTTGGAAAAGATGATGAATGAATAGATTCTTTGAGAAATGCACACTTTCATTTTCATTACCTTAGAGCATGTAGCTAAATAAAAAATATGCAATCACCATCATAAAAGACAATATTAGATAGAAGGTAATTATTGAAATACTGAGATTATTCACAGGAACCAATATGAGAGGCTCCACTTTAGGAGGGAATTCAAAAGGGACTCAGTCTTTGAGAGGCTTGATTTCTTCAAGAAACTCTAGATACAGTTCTGCCTAGAAGGAAATGTGTCTAACTGGTGGAAGCAATATATCACTTTGTAGAAGGATACACTTTCTAATTACCTGAGAAATACTGGTCAAACACTCAGTTGCCATCCTTTCTGATTCTATCTTTTCCTCAGGAAGGCAGAAGGAGTCCTTAGAAAGACGACCTAGGAGGAAAGAAAGAAGGCTTGAGGGTCTAGAGGTGACCATAATTCCCACATTCACCTGCCTGGAAGTCATTCCATTCTAGCTTGAAATTCCCAAATATCCCTGCACACTCAAGAATTCTCACACAAATAGATGGTACTG